TAAGAGGACTGGCTGCCCCCCGGCCCACACTCCCACTAGGTCTCAATCAAAGGAGCCAAGGAGGGGCTGCCCTGGGGACAAGGTCTCCCGTCCGTCCTGTGCCCGCGGTGAGGCCCAGGCCAGACGCCATGTGCCCCCGCACTCACGCTGCTGTTCCCACTTTAGCAGAGATGCACTCTCTGCGGCCGGGTTTGTATCCAAGGCAGGAAAACGAGAGCCAGACCAAGGGTGGCTGCCATTCTTTTTCTGATCCTCTGTGCTGTCCTACTGGCCCTGCCTGCCGAGCCCTGCAGGCCTCTGAGTTTGCAGCCCTTGTCCTGGGAATGGCACGACTTCCTGCGACTGGCACTGTGTGCCTGACAGAGACCACATGCCCAGCACGCGGCCCAGGGATCTTTCCTAGCAAGCGGGGATCTTCCCGGAATCCCAAGTTCTGCAAGGCCGGCTTCTCCATGCGCGTGGTCTCTCGGGCTCCGCCCAGCTTCTCCAGGCCCCACAGTCTGGCTGAAACTGCACCGCACCAGGGTCCAGCTGAGGCAGAAGCGGGGCAAGGGGCCTGCCTGAGCTGTGCCTGAGCACCGTCCCCTGAGAAGAAGTGAAAGACGCCGGCAGTGTTGCTCCTCCACGAATGCGCTCCCCATTCACTGCACAGCCAGCCTAGTAAGGGAGGCGGCTCACTCCCTGCACAAGCTGAGTGGTGGCCCCCAAAGGTACCGGGTCCTATGTGGTACATGACCACAGAGGCAGGCAGAGACTGGAGGGACGCAGCCACAAGCCAAGAAACGCTAGCAGCCACCAGAAGCTGGGACCGGCAAGGAACAAACTCCCCCAGACCCTCCGGAAGGAACCCAGCCCTGCCCACACCTCCATTTCAGCCCAGTGACACTGATTTCAGGCTTCTGCCCTCCCAAACTATGAGAGGATGAGCTGCGGGTGTTTCAAGCCGCCCAGCAGGTGGGAGTGGGCCATGGCAGCTGAGACTTGGAGTCGTGTGACATTCCAGGATCACCCCGTGCAAGCTCTGAGCAGGGCTTCCCGGCTGGGCTGGGGGCTCCTCACCCCACACCCCCTGGCCCTGGCTTCCCATCACAGCCCCAGACAGTGGTGACAGATGGCAGCCAGGGCAGGGCTCAGGCAGGGGCCCAGAACTCGGAGTGAGGCTCTGTCCATGCTTGCGTGCAAATGCAAACACAAGTGCATGCCCACACGTGCAGACACACATACACACGTTCACATGCAAGCACCAGAGAGGCCAGTGTCACAGAGCACACCTCCCAACATATGGCCCCAGGCACAGGGCTGGCTCTAGGGAGGACTGAGAATGGGACTCAGGGTGCTGGAGAAGAGTCCATCCCAGGGGAGGCCTGAAGATGCCTGAATCGCCTCTCTCTAAAAGGCCACACTGGCAGCCTGGGCTCAGAGCTCTGCCCTCCTGGCCCAGCCAGGCTCCCAGGCCCAGCAGAGCCAAGCAGAGATGCTTCTGTAACACCCGTGAGGCCAGTGAGGAGAGATGTCTCCCCAGTCTCCCTCGACCCCTTGCCCACCCCAGTACTCTCCTCCTGGGCTCAAGCTGCCCAGTGCACACCCCCGACCCTGCCCTGAGTCCCGGAAGATATGTTAAAACCTTCACTTTCCATCCATTTCCCCAGGCAGCCGGCAGCCCAGCAGCTGACCATTAGTGAGGCTCCGGGAGCCCCTGAGGTCACCCCAGGAAGCCTGCTGGCGGCTCAGGGAAACAAAGCAACAGCAACGAGGCTCAGTGCCCTGGAGGGGCTGAGTGCGACACCCCCACCCCTACAGGCACCCCCCAACCCCCACAGGCACCCCCACCAACCCCCCCAAAGGTACCCCCCACCAATCCCCCCACAGGCAACCCCCATACCCACACCCACCAGCCACAGATACCCTGTGGAACTCTTAATTCTGCGAGACATTTCTGCAATTAAAAAATTGGACGTGGGCTGTTCAAAACGTGTCTGGAGCCTGAGTTGGGCATACACGCCTCTTTTATAAGCCCCGCCTTCTCTTAAACAGCACTGGGAGGGGCCGCTCACCTCATTTAACGGGAGTAACAGAGGTGACTTGGGGAGAATGGCCACACTGACTCTGGGACTGGAACTGAGCCTCAGGCCCAGATCCTGCTCCCCGGGGCCTGCGAGCCGCCTCTGCACACGCTGCCTCCCCGACACTGTCTTCTCCTGTGTGGTTTTTGTGTTGACACATAATTTCATTACTCTTGGGTACAAACCTAGAAGAATTGCTGGGTCACAGGGTAACTCTAGGTTGAACCTTTTGAGGAAATTGCCAGACTGTTTCCCAGGGTGTCCTGAGCGTGCTGTCCCCTCCCCTGGGGATCAGATGCCCTGACTCTCACCACCCTCCAAGGCACCCCCACACCCCCACCAATCCCCACAGGCACCCCCAGCCCTATTCTCACACCCACACCCAGCCAGATGCCAATCTCCCAGGCCAGGAGGCCCAGGACAGCCTTTCCCCTTCCTCAGAGGACCCATTATATCCACGGCCTGTCAGTAAGTGGGTGTTTCAAACTTGCTTCCAGAAGTCCCTTGTGGGGCGGGAGGAAGCCTCCGGTCAGCACCTCCTGCCTGCTTTGGCCAGGGCCACACCGATACGTCAGGGTTCCCATCAGAATTCACCGGAAGGAGGGTCCCCTGGCTTATACATACACATTGAGAGCCTTTGCAAAGAGGTCCTGGTGTCCTGCGCCCAGCAGGCTGTGTCCTCTCGCAGGAAAAAGCACAGAGGCCAGGTGCACACCCAGCCAAGGACACCGCTTTTATGTATCTCCTCGCTGCCCCTGCGGGCCCTGGCGAGGCCCAGGCTGACGGAGGGCTGGACCGTCTGAAGTCACTCAGAGCAGCCCCAGCATAAAATGTGTCTGGACCACCTCCAGCCAGCGAGTGGGCCTCAGCCCTGGGCCCAGTGGAAACAATCAGGCACATGCAAGGAGAAATGTGCTCTCCGTGGACAAGTCATCCCGCACGGGGTCAAGCTGACACTGGGCAGGGACATCAAGGAAAGGAGGCTTGGTGCCAGACTCTGGGTCTGTGGCCCAGACCCACTGTCCTTGGCCCACAGCCCGGAGCCGAAACACCCACAGCCCAGGGCTGAGGGCTGAGGTCTAGAGCTCAGCCTGGGACAGCTCCCCCGACCCCTCCCACTTCAGTGCAGCCTCAGCCCCAGACCATGCAGTTGGCTGTCCCCAGAATCTTCTAAGGTCAATGGTTTCTGGGCTTATTCAGAGTTTGAAATTCCTTTCCTGCATTCTGAGTTCCAAGTTTTCACAGAAGACAGATAGGCAGAGGGCGTGGGGGGGAAGGATTCAAGAGAAGATGCCAAAAGACCCACAGAAGCCCCGAGAATCAGGCAAGGCTGGCCAGGCCACAGGGGAGGGCTGCTGTGCCCAGGGGACAGGTACCACATGGAATCTGAGTCTGGTAGCATGGCCAGGGCGCCTGGCAGCCTCACCTCGCCCAGCCTAAGCAGGGGGGCCCCCCCAGGAACCTCAAGTCTCCCAGCAGAGGCTAGCCCGGAAGCCCCGAGCCCACAGTGGCCAGGCCCTCATTTGTCTCAGACGCAGGCACTTTTAATCCCTCTGCACAGACGAGAAGGCAGAGACCAGAGGCCCAAACCTGCCCAAGGGCGGACAACCAGCAAGGAGCAAAACCGGGGGCCCTGATCCCTGATTGGGAGCACGTCCCCTGCCCCATTCTCACTCCTGCCCTCACCCATGGGGTTATTCTCCATTCCTCCCCATGCAGAGAAGCCCAAGAGTGGGAAAGAGGCAGGAGGGGCCGAAGCTGGGGGAGGCCGGCGGGCAGCGCCTGGGGGCCCCCCTCGCTGTCAGCAGCCCAGAAAGACATCGATTCATCCCCTGAGAAGAAGGGCCTGCCGGACGTATCGATCGGCTCTAGAGAGCCCTGCTTCCTGGTGGAGCAATTCCTTTGCAAAGGTACCTGACAGCGTTCCTTGAAATTAGAATGGTGCCCTGCCAGGCTGCACCCAATTTATCTGTCAGCTAGGAAGTCAGAGAGGCCTCAAATAAATGAGCCAGGGCTGCTTGGGGCGCTGGGAGAGTCCTGGCTAATCACAGCACGCTGGGCTGGCCCCCCGGGGCTTCCTGCAAACAGGCAGCGGAGCCTGACCCGAGACCCAGGCCTCCAAGCCCTGCCCTTGCCACTTGCCGTGACTGAGCAGAGCAAAGGGTCTGGAAACAGACACTGAGGGCTGAGCCCGCTCCACAAGAGCCAGTCTTGCAAGGACCACAGCCAGAGCTCGACCTGGTCTGGCTGCGACCCGGGACCCAGACCCTGAGAACGCTGGGGAGGGATGGGCTGGGGGTGGGCCTGGCCTCCCGGAGGGTCCGGAGAGGCTGCACCGAGCCTGCCCAGCAGCACCTCCCACGCTCCTGGGCCCAGAGCACACTTTTCACATGAGCCTGTGCACAGGATGCCGAGGCCACTGGGTGCACCTCGGGGGTCTCTGTGGAGCACTCCCTTCCCCTCCTGGCACCTCGCTGTCTCCCAGAGGGAGCAGGATCCGAAAGGGCCAAAGGGGCGCTCAGGCCTTTCTCTGTGAGCAGCCCGGGAGGGGCGGTCACCTTCGTAGGGACAGCGCAGTGCAGGGGCAGGGGAGAGGCTGTCTGCGGGCAGCAGACGCCTTCGGCAGATGCACAGGCTCAGAGACAGGCGCGGGACTGAGGCTGGGGCACAGGCCTGGGCTGGACTCCCCGTGATCGCTGACACCTGCCAACCCTCGGAGAGCAGAAGGTAAGGCCCTCAGGCAGCCTTGACTGCCCGCTATGGAGGCCTCAGACCCGCAGGTTTATGACCCACATGCACCCAGACCACGGTGCTGTGCGGTCACCAAGGGCAGGTCTCAGCCTCGACCTGGGACCAGGCCTGCAGAGAGGGTGCCTGAGACCCCTGGGAGAACATTCAGGGTTCACCATGCAACGCTCCCACCTGTAGCAGCCTTACCTGTGTCCAGGGCCTGTGGTCCCCCCAGAGGAGGGGGCCTGGGGGTGTGCGGCCGGCGATACACCACGTGCACACGGCCCTGCTCAGCCTCCTTGGCCGCTAGCCCCTTCTCCAGCGGCTCAATGAAGAACTCCTCTTCCTCCATACGGATCAGGCCAGCCTGCAGGGCAAAGACGAGATGGTTCAAATTCCCCGAGCACAGCAGACGGAGGAGGGGAGGCAGCGAGGGGGGCGCCAGAGGGCAGAAGCTCCCACCTGGACCAGTGGGCCCTGCCCAGCACCCTAGCTAGGTGCTGGCTTGAGCCCTGGGCTGGGGAGGGCATGGACAGGTGGCCCTAGAGGCCCCCTCATTCCAGAGCCTCCACTTCTAGCCACCAGGGCAGAGCCAGCACCCTAGCTAGGTGCTGGCTTGAGCCCTGGGCTGGGGAGGGCATGGACAGGTGGCCCTAGAGGCCCCCTCATTCCAGAGCCTCCACTTCTAGCCACCAGGGCAGAGCCACTGGACGGTGGGGAAACCCATCTGAGGAAAGGGTTCTGCCTGGGTCAGCCCCACCCTCGCCTCCAGGAGCCCAAAGTCCAAAACTGCAGCTGGGAACTGAATCTGTCACAGACATGTTCAGTTGGACCCAAACAGTATTTTCAAAGCTCTGAACCCAACACTCAAAATGCTGCAATTTCACATTTCAAAAATGGAATTCCAGCTTTCCGTGGAAAACACAGGCTGTGACCACAGTGCGCGCTGCCCAGCAGTAGACACCATGGGTGGAGCATGCATCCCTGCAGCTGGCCATAGTCCCCACTGTTCATCCTTTCATCCACGAGGGTCCCCAGCCCAGACTGTACAGCAACTGAACCTCAGCTTCCCCCAGAACCGGCTATGGACCTTCCAAGCTGCAAAGCCCTCGACGGACCCCTGTTCCCATCAGAAGTCGGGCTGCTCTGTACTCTGGCGTCCAAGGCTCTCAGCCTGCCACTGCCCTCCCCGCCCCCAGCTCACACACTATGCACCAGTCCCTGAAACAGCCCTGTCCTTCCAACACACTGCACACCGTCTGGCCTCTGGGTTCCCTGCTCCTGTCCCCAACCTTGATCATCTAGTAAACGCCAATTCTCTTTCAATGCCTGGCTCAGAACCGCCTACCCACCCAATTCCAAGCCCTCAACTGCAGCCACATGGCTGTGCCCTCCCCTTGAGTCCCTGCTGCCATCACTGCCCCATCCAGCTGCCACACTTTGGGTTTTGGGTTCATTATCCATAAACCACGTAAAAAGATGCACACAGTTAACGTATACAACTCACTGAGTTTGGGAATGAGTACACACTCATGAAACTCTCACCACGATGAGAGCCATGAACAGCCAGCGCCTCTCACAGCATCCTCCACACCCTTTACTGTTATCATTCTTTGTGGTAAGAATCCTACATATAACATCAACTCTCTTAGCAAATTTTAATTATATGACAGAGTATTGTTAGCTATAGGCAGTGTGCTGTATGAAAGATCTCCAGAACTTCCTTATCTTGCATAACTGAAATTCTGCACCCTTTGACCATCACTTCCCACTTCCTCCTCTCCCCAGCCCCCGGCAATCACCATCCAACACTCGACTTCTCTGAGTTTTTAGATCCCGTGCGTAAGTGAGATCTTAACAGTATTTGTCTTTCTGTGTCTAGTTTATTTCACTTAGCATAATATCCTTCAGTGCCAGCCATATTGTTGCAAATGGCAAGATCTTCTTCATTATAAAGGCCAGGTAATATTCCATCGTACGTATGCACCACATTTCTTTATCAATTTGTCATTCCTAGATGGATATTTGGAATGTCTCCATGTCCGTTGTGAACAATGCTGTAATGAACAAGAGAGTGCAGCTACCTCTTCGATATTCTGTTTTCATTTTCTTTGGACACATTCCCAGAAGTGGAATGGTTGATCACATAATAGTTCTATTTTTAATTTTTCAAGGAACCTCCACAGTGACTAAACCAATTTCCATTCCCACCAGCACTGCACAAGGGTTCCCTTTCTCCACGGCCTCACCAACACATGTTATTTCTTGTGTGTTTAACAGCCATTCTAACAGATGTGAGATGATATCTCTTTGTGGGTTTGATTTGGGTTTCCCTGATGATTAGTAATGTTGAGCACCTTTTCATGTATTTCTTGGCCATTTGCATGTCTTTTTTGGGAAAAAAAAATCTATTCGAGTCCTTTGCCCATTTTTTAACTGGATTTTCTTTTCTTTTTCCTTTTTCTTTCTTTCTTTCTTTTTTTCTTGCTTTTGAATTGTATGAGTTCTTTATGTATTTTGGGCATCAACCCCTTATCCGATTTGCAAATGCTTCCTCCCATTCTGTAGGTTGCCTTTTCATTTTGCTTCATTTTGCTTCATTTTGCTTGTAGTTCTTTGGCTATGCACGAGTTATTTCATTTGATGTATTCCCATTTGTTGATTTTTGCTTTTATTGTTCATGCTTTTGGCGTAATACCCAATGTCAAGGAGCTTTTCCCCTAAATTTTCTTCTAGGAGTTCTATGGTTTCAAGTCTTACATTCAAGTCTTTAATCTGTTTCCAAGTTAACCCAGTTAATTTTTGTGAGTGGTGTAGGGTAGGGGTCCAATTTCATCCTTTTGCATATGAATATCCAATCTGCCTACCACCATTTATTGAAGAGGCTATCTTCCCACATTGAGTATTCTTGGCTCTCTTGTCAAATATAAGTTGATTGTATATGCATAAGGTTATTTCTGGGCTCTTGATTCTGTTCCCTTGGTCTGTGTATCTGTTGTTATGTCAGTACCATACTGTTTTGATTACTATAGCTTTGTAATTTAGCTTGAAAACAGAAAGTATTATGCCTCCAAGCTTTGTTCTTTCTCAAGATTGCTTTGACTCTTTGAGGTATTTTATGGTTCCATAAAAATTTTAGGATTGTTTTTTCTATCGGAATTTGGGATTTTCACAGGAATTGCATTGAATCTATAAATGATTTGGGGTACTATGGACATTTTAACAATATTAACTCTTCTGACCCCTGAACACAGTACATCATCCCATTTATCTGTGTCTTCTTCAGTATCTTTCATCAGTATCTTAGAGTTTTTGGTGCATAAATCCTTCACTTCTTTGGGTAAATTTATGCCTAAGTATTTTACTATCTTAGATGCTATTGTAAATAAGAACGTTTTATTTCTTTTTCCGCTAGTTCACTATTAGTGTATAGAAATGCAACTGATTTTTTATGTTGATTTTTGTATCCTAAAACTTTACTGGATTTGTTCTAACATTTTTTTTGATAGAGTCTTTATGATTTTCTACATGCAAGATCATGTCAACAAGAAACAGGAACAATTTTTTTTTCCAATTTGGATGCCTTTTATTTCTTTTTATTACCTGACTGCTCTGGCTAGAATTTCCAGTACTATATTGAATAGAGGTGGTGAGAATGGGCACCCCTGTCTTATTCATGATCTTAGAGAGAAAGCTTTCAACTTTTCACCATTGAGTGTGATGTCAGCTATGGGCTTGTCACATACCTGGCTTTTATTATGTTGAAGTATGTTCCTTCTACACTGAATTTGTTTAGTTTTTATCATGCAAGAGGTTGAATTTTGTCAAATGCTTTTTTCTGCATCTATTGAAATAACGATATGAATTTTATTTTTCATTCTATATCACATTTATTGATTCACATATGTTGAACCAACCCTGCATCCCAGGGATAAATCCCACTTGATCACAGTGTACAATCTTTTTAATGTGCTGCTGAATTTGGTTTTAATATTTTATTGAGAATTTTTCCATCTATATTCCTTGGGGAAACTGGCCTGTAGTTTTCTTTTCTTATAATATCTTTATCTGGCTTTGGTATCAGGATAGTGCTGGCCTCATAAAAATGAGTTTAGGAGTGTTCCTTCCTCTCCAAATTTTTGGAAGAGTCTGAGAAGAACTGACATTAATTCTTTAATATCTGGTAGAATTCACTCGTAATACAATGTAGTCGTGGACTTTTTTCTCTGTTTAGAGGTTTTGATTACAGATTCAATCTCCCCACTCACTGCAGGTCTGTTTAGATTTTCTATTTCTTCATGAGTCAGTCATGGTAGGAGGTATGGTTCTAGGAATCTATCCATTTCTTCTAGGTTGTCCAAGTTGTTGGTGTACATTTGCTCATAGCAGTCTCTTACAATCCTTTCTATTCCTGTGACATCGTAATTTACATCTTTTTATACTGTGTGTCCATGAACAAATTATTGTAGTGATAGCTACTTTGGAATTAGAATTAGAACATTCTGATTTTGACTATATACTTACCCCTACCAGTGTGGCATGTTATTTTCACATTTTCACATTACTAATTAGAGTCCTTTTGTTTCAGGTTGAAGAACTTTCTGCATTTCTCATAAGACAGGACTAGTAGTGGTGAACTCCCTCAGCTTTTGTTTGTTTGGAAAAGTCTTTATCTTGCCTTCATTTCTGAAAGACAACTTTGCCAGGCAGAGCATTTTTTGCTGGTACTTTCTTCCCTCCAGCACTTTGAATATATCATTCCACCCCCTCCTGGCCTGTAAGGTTTCTGCTGAGAAATCCATGGAGAGCCTTATTGGGATTCTCCTGTATGAGACAAAGTTTTTGTCTTGCTGCTTTTAAAATTATCCTTGTCTTCACTTTTAGATAGCTTATTATCATATGCCTTGGAAAAGGTCACTTTGGGGTGACCTATGAGCTTCATGAACTTAAATGTCCAAATCTCTCTCCAAAGTTTGGGAAGTTCTCAACCACTGTTTCTTTAAATAAATGTTGTGCCATGTTCGCCCCCCTTCTCCTTGGACTTTAACAGTGCATAGGCTGTTTCTCTTAATGCGTCCCACAGCTTTCCTCATTCCTTTTCCTTCTTTTTTCTTTTGGCTCCTCTGACTAGACAACCTCACATGATCTGCCTTCCAGCTCACTGCTTCTTTCTTCCGCCTGGTCCCGTTGGCTGCTGGTGTTCAGGGCCGAATTCTTCAGTTCAGTCATTGTGTTCTTCGGCTCCAAAACTTACTTGGCTCTTTTTTTATATTTCCCATCTCTTTGTTGAACTTTTCATTTTGTTCTTATATCATTTTCCTGTTTTCATATTAAATTGTTTCTCTGTGTTCTCTTGTAGCTTTCTGA